TTTCATCATAGGTCTGAGGGCAATACATCATACCAGCGTCTGTGTGTGTAAAGGACTTCATTTTCAGGTTTTTTTCCTAAATAAAGGATTCTGGATTGACGATTATTTTCTTTCAGCATATTAAAGTTGTCATTTCCTTTTCTTTATGCTTAGATTATTTCTATTGAGAACTCAGCTCTCAGTTACTCCTTTTAATGTAATAGGTCTATTTTTCTTTGGATGATTGCAAATTTCCTCTTTGTCTTTTAGCAGGTTTATTATGCTGCCGATGTGCAGATACGTGTGCTTTTTTTTTTCTTTTTAACTTAACTTGCTTGGGGTCCATAGTCTTTCTTTAATCTTTGACTTGTGTCTTTTATCAGTTTTAAGAATTCTCAGCTCTTATGTTCTCAAATACTCTTTCTATTCCATGGCCTCTCTCTCTCTGGAACTGAGAATAGATACATTTTAGATCCTTCACAATATCTTCTATGTACTTTCTATACTGTTTTTCTTTTCATTTTTAAAGTTTCTTTCTATCCTTCATAAGGGAGTCTTTTCTCTAAGATCTATCCTCCAGCTTACTTGCCCTCTGTCCTGGGTCTGACCTGATGCTGAAACTGTTTATTGAGTTGCTGTTTTCAGTGATTTTATTTTATAGCTCTATAATTTCCGTTTGATTGATTGAATATATCCGCATCATCTGATAAAAACTTCCAGCTTGTCATCTATTTACTTGAACAAATTAATCCAACAACTCCATCACCTGTGGAGCTGCTGCTAGTGTCTATTTTTTCTCTTTGTTTTTGATTACCTGGTTTTATCTCCTAAGAGCTTGATGATACATTACTGAATGGAGGATACTGTGTCTACATATGTAAAGACTTCACAGATATTATCCTTCATCTAGGGCTTATTTCCTTTGATCTGGAAGATACTTAGAATTCCTATTCTAAGTTCAGATGAACTTGACCCATTCCAGGATAGATGTTTCAAACTGGGTTTCTATCTCAGGGAAGGATAATCTATTTCTTATTTTGCCTTTCTCCTAGAAAACAGTCTTTCATGGAACTCCTCTTGTTATGGAAACTGGTCTGGATCACCCGGGAGAAGAACCAAGTGGCACTCGGAGATCTTGGAAGGCAGGAGGTTTATTTTACATGGGTGGGATCAGAGGAGATCATTCTCCAGAGGTCTGAGCCCAGAGCATCAACAGAAGGGACAATTTCTAGTCTGTTACTTCCGCATTCATCATTAGTAGTAATTTGGCACCTGAGGCAAGCAGGGTGGGAACAAAAACCCGGAAGGGAAGTCTTCAGGCAGGGACTGAATTCCCTTATCAGTCCTGTTGGCCATCATAGAACAGATTTTTCCCTAACAATCTGAAAGCCCGCAGTGTTACATGCCCCCTCCTCTTTATCTTGTCCTGAACTTTGGTGTTTGCATTCTCAGCCAAATGCTGAATTACATGCTTTGATTTGCATGGAATTGTCACCTTAGTTCTGCTTGACTCCTTGGCTTCTCACCTGCCATCTCCCCTCCCCCCCATCTAACTTAAGAATCAGCAAGTGCTTCCATGAAAAATAACAGGCTTGGCTTTCTGCGATTACCTTTTTGTCTGGCTTTACCCTTCTCAAATCCGGGCTGCCTTGGTACCTCTAGATTTCAACCTTCGTCTCCCCATATCTGTGGAATTTCTGCAGTTCTGAAATGTCCTCACTGCTCTCACCTTATCCTCTCAGACTCTCATCCTTAGATATTGACAGGTAGCTGGATGAGAGAAGCGGTGAGCCCCGGTAGACTCACCTCAATGCCATTTTCCTGCTCTAAGCTTCTTGGTCACTCAAGTTATAGGTACCTTGGCCGTTCTCTGGGGCCTTCGGAAGACTGTGGCTGTGGTTTCAATTTTATCATCTTTTGATAATGTTCCACTATGGTTAGGCTGATCAAAACTTAACCGTCATGGCCAAAAGCAAAGATCCTGACCATTTCATGCCGGTGCCTCCATGCCTACCTACGGGACAGTCCCCATCACATCTCACCTGGAATATGGCAGTAACTTCACAACTGGTCAATCTGCTTTTACAGTCTATTCTTGGCAGAGCAGCCGGGGTGAAGCACAGAAACGTAGAGTTCTCAGGGATTTGAGGGGGAAAAAAACACACGCCAATTCTGCAGGACCCTGAATGATACCCCCCCAGAATCCTACTATTCCCCCACTCCACCCTGCTCAGTTGCACTGGCCTCCTCACTCCTCCTGAAACACCAGGTACCCTGCTACATTGGAGCTTTTACATCAGCAAATCCCTCTTCCTTGAATGTCCTTCCCTCACATGGCTCATGGCTAATTCCTTCACTTCCTTCAAGTCTTTGCTTCCTCATTTTTCCTCAGCCTGGTGCTTTTGGCTCTCCTCACTGGATTCCCCTGTATTCTTTTCCTCATCCATACTATTGACCACTTTCTACCATAACATGAAATTCGCTGCTTATCTTGTGTATTGCTTTTCTCTCCATCTAGATCCTATCCTATTCCCAGCTAGAAAGGGAGCTCAAGAAGGACTAGAATGTATATTTAAAAAAAAACATTGATTAAAAAAATGATATGTTGCAGCACTCGGAGTAAGCTCAAATATAAGATAAATGATGAACACATAGAAATATTTTCATAGAGAAGGGCAATCAAAATAATCTAATAATTAGGAAATTTAATTCACTCATTATTTATTGAATATCAACTACACACCAGAGTACCAAAATAATAATAAACGAGACAAACCCTTGACGCTTAAAAACCTTTCTCTGAAAGGAATGCGTATGTATGTGCACACAACGTATACATAACATCAAGTTGTCGCGGTATGTACTTTATTTTTAAATTTTTATTATCTATCCTTTTATTTTATTGAAGTATCTAATTCACATGCAATGTTATATTAGTTTCAGAGTGATTAGAGCACAGTGATTAGAATCAGAGGGATTCAACAATTCTATACACTAAGCTATGCTCCCCAGGATAAGTAATTAATTGCCATCTGTCACCATACAATATTATTACGACATCATTTACTGCATTTCCCATGCTGTACTTTTTATTCCCATGACTCATTTATAACTGGAAGTTATTTTATAACTGGAATTCTTAAACTCCTTCACTTATTTTGCCCATCTTCTCAACCCCCTCCCCTCTGGTATTTGTTCTATTTATGATTGTGATTCTGTGTTTGTTTGTACATTTGTTTTTTGGGTTTTTTTTTTTAGATTCCACATATAAGTGAAATCATATGGAATTTCTCTGTCCGACTTCTTTCATTTAGCATATACCCTCTGGGTCCATCCTTGTCCACAAATGGCAAGATCTCATTCTTTTTTATGGCTGGCTGATATATGTAAATACATGTCCATTGGTAGATGAATGGACAAAGAAGACATCGTACACTTTAAATATCTTACAATCTCATTTGTCAATTGTAGCTTAATAAAACTGAAAAAAAAAGAAAAAGAATTATTAGCTACTTTCCCAGTATTCTCGAAATGATTGTGAATGTTCCCTCCTAGCTCTAGGAATTCCTCCTCCCATTTCCACCGAAGAAAAGATGGTGAGTATCATCTTTTTAAGTGTCAGAGTCATGACTATCTCCCCTCAGAACTCTAATTAGCTGTGTCCCGTGTCACCCAAGAAAGCTGCAACACATATCAATTTTCAGGAAGATTTACATTCGATAAAAAGGAAGTTAAACTCTGAAAGACGGTTTGTAAAGCCCATTTGATCATAAGTTGATGGTTTTTAAAATTTTCCAGAAGTTACTATCTACTCCTACTTCCGGTGGGTTGGAGAGTTCCAACATAACAGCTCAGATACATCTTCAAATCTTAGGACACGTCCAATGCTTGCAATCTCCCAAGGCTAATGTGTTTCTTCTCACACAATCCCAATTTTGTAATTCCGATACCTATAACCTTTAGAGCGCTCCACCAATAAGGCGTAAGACAAAGGGAAATTGAGGTCGTGGCAATATTTTTTCTCCAGAAAAGCCTTCTACAAGGAAGACATAGCTGAATGACACAGCAGGAAATCTCAAGCAATTATGTAATATGTGGCTTTGACATACACTCCCCTGAACGCAGATCATCAAGTCAAATTTAAATCTGTACATGTCCTCTGCTTAACAGCTTCTGAAATGTTTTCAAAATAACTGGTCATCAGATTTGTCTAATTAGAAACATTTCTCAGTTCCTTTCTCTGTGAGGCAGCTGTGTTAGCCTCAAGGCAGCTCTAGACTGTTCCGTGGGACCAGTGACAACAGCAGGAGGAGTCTGGCATCTACAGACATGCAGCGAAGGCGAGTACCCTTGCACAGCTATGGCATTAGGCATCGCGGTGTGCTTAATCTTACCGACAGTTGTCATCTTCAAAAGTAGGCAGAGAGAGGGAAAGACAGCCAAATATGAACGACCAAAATGATGGACGGTTTCTCCCCGTGTGATCCACGGGCAACACCATCTCACCATTAGTTTCTGATTATTGCTAACAAGGCGGTTCCCTGGGATTTATTCAGTTATTGAATCAGATTTTCTGGGTGTCCTAGGAAATCTTCACGTAGGAAGCCCACCAGGTGAATCTCATGCTCACTAAAGTTAAAAACAACAACTGACAGAGCTTACCAAACAACAACAACAACAACAACCCCGGTGACCTCTAACATCTGTTGATGGCGAGTGGTGTTGACTCATTCTTCCTCTGTTCAATCTCAAGTTCAATTTTTATAAATAGAGATGCTTTTGTTGATACTCCGTCTTTTAGTTTTTGCTCAGTGTTCTGGGAATATGTCGGTAGGAAAACCCTTGGATGTGCTATAGATGTATTTTGGAAGAAAACGCTCGGCTATGTTTATCCCAGTGAAATGAGAAAATACTGAAGACTGAGATGCCAAGGAGTATAAAAGAATTAGCATTCACATTTATATTTAGGGCCAAAACATAGGCTAGACAGCTAGAAACATTTTGGCAGTGTTTAATATGACGTTGAACATAATAGAAGTGGTTTCAAAATATTTGTACAGGGGGAAGCCCATGGCTGCAAGGTAGCAATCAATCATCACCATCAATATTTGGGTTAGGCCCCTTTGCGTTACTATTTATTTCAGGAAATTCTCAAAGCAGTCTGAATGGACTCTGGACAGATTTTTCTTCTCCCGATATGATTTTCCTGGTCCTCTCCAGCGTCCCAATTGCAGTAATTGTCACATTCAGCCACTCCTTTGTTTATGCCAACAACTTTGAAGTTGTCCGGAACTGCCATCCCTCGCGCGCCTCTTTCCCTCTGACACACCCGTGTCTGATGGGTTCGATTCATTCGCTCAGAAGCCTGCTTAGATTGGCGTAAATACCTGACAGGTGAAGACAAAAAGGCTAAAGCAACACCTCATGTGTTTACAGACCTCTCAGTAGCTAGATGATTAAGCTCAAATATCTGTCATTCCTTTACATAAAACAACAAAGTGACAAAAATAGTGTCGCATTGACCAGGAAAATGATTTGAAGGGATTTGCAAATGACATCATCATATTGCTGACTTTGCTGTTCCTACTGGGGTGGTTTTAGGACGCAGACTCCTGTTCACCTTTACAAATACTGTCTGGTAGCCTCTGTCCCACTGATTCTTCCAGATTCATTCTGCTGGGTATAAATGACCTCAGCAAACACCCCGTCCCATCAGCACACACGTATTACTTTTACATCGACATTCACCTGTTTGCCCAACGTTTACCATTTCTCAGATTTTAGTTTGTAGATTACCTTCCCCTCTCTGTTCTACCTATCTTTCTTCTGGGTTGTTTTCCTGCCTTTCGTATGCGGGGGTGCATCGTCCTTAATGGTTATGCTTCCTTTGGTAACCTCAGTGGATCTGGGGTTATTTATCTAAGCCTGTCTGGCACTGGTACCTGGAAACCTGACAGTGCTCTCTCTCCAGAAACAAAAATTCAAAGAATTTACTGGAAGCATATCACTTTAGCAAGCAAGCTCTTTAAGCTGAAAGCAAGAGGCCCCATAGGATAATTCAAATCTACATGAAAAGCAAAGAGTTCAGCCAATGGTAATCACTAAGGTAATTCTAAAAACAATATAATTATATATTTCTCTCTTCTTCTATTAACTTATTTCAAAAGCAGTAATGTCAAGTAATATGTATGGAATTGGACGTCTAAAATACAGATATGTAGGGGCGCCTGGGTGGCGCAGTCGGTTAAGCGTCCGACTTCAGCCAGGTCACGATCTCGCGGTCCGTGAGTTCGAGCCCCGCGTCAGGCTCTGGGCTGATGGCTCAGAGCCTGGAGCCTGTTTCCGATTCTGTGTCTCCCTCTCTCTCTGCCCCTCCCCCGTTCATGCTCTGTCTCTCTCTGTCCCAAAAATAAATAAACGTTGAAAAAAAATTCAAAAAAAATACAGATATGTAACATCAGTGTAGTGAAATTACAGGAACAAATGGAAAATAACAAGGTTAATACAACAAACTCTATACACATATGCTTGCTCTCTTTCCCTGAAGGGAATACAATTATTCAAGTTAATAATTATACCAATGCATATTTGGGCCTTTAACATACACAGATGTTATGAATAAATGATAGCACAGAAAATAGGATGAGTTAATAGAAGTACAGAGAAGTAATGTTTCTATAACATACTGGAATTAAATTAGTGGAAGCCTGAATTTAATATTAATTAATTAGGAAGTATATTGTAAGCCATGGAACAACTACTCATGAAATAACCAAAAAAATGCAGATTGAAAAATAATTAAAGGAATTAGTACGTTACCCTAGAAAATATTCATTAATGTAAAAGAAAGTGGGAAAGGAAAAAATAGGAATAAAAAAAACTGACACACATAGCAAGCGAAAAGTAAGATGTGAAAAGTAAATGCAACTATATCAATAATAACATTAAATGTGAATAGATTGAGGGGCACCTGGGTGGCTCAATAGGCTAAGCATCTGACTTCAGCTCAGGTCATGATCCCTTCCTGGTTTGTGAGTTCGAGCCCCGCATCTGGCTCTGTGCTGACAGCTTGGGGCCTGGAGCCTGCTTTGGATTCTGTGTCTCCATCTCTATCTGCTCCTCTCCTGCTCTCTCTCTCTCTCTCTCTCATAAATAAACATTTAAAAAAATTAATGCGAATGAATGAAAAATTGAATGAAAAGGCAAAGATTGTCAGACTCAGTTTAGAAAATATAAGATCTAACTTGTGCTGTATACACTTTACATTAGAAGACAAATAGGTTGAAAATAAACGGATAGAAGGGACGAAAAGGTACATTTTATAGTGATGAAAGCTAAAAATCTATGAGGAAAAGATAACAATTATAATGTTATATTCACCTATTACCAAATCCTCAAAATATATGAAAACGTCTGAGTAAAGAGAAAAACTGATAATGTCATATAATAGTTGGAGACTTGAATAATGGATAGAAAAACTAAGCACATCAACAGGGAAATAGAACATGTGCACAACACTATCTATAAACCAAACCTAACAGAAATCTATAGAACACTGCACCCAACAGCACAATACACACTGTTCTCAAGTGCACATAGAAGTACAGGATTGACTATATAGTAGACCATAAAACAACTCATTAAGTTTACAAGGATTGAAATCATACAAAATATGTTCTCTGACCACAATAGAATAACATTAGAAATTTATAACAGAAAGAAATTTGGAAAATTCACAAACATATAAAAATTAAATAGCATATTCCTAAATAATAAATGAATCAAAGAAAAAAAAATAAGGGAAGTTGGAAAATACTTTGAGATACATGAAAATAAAGACACAACATGCCAAACATTGGGATGCAGCTAAAGCAGAGTTCAGAAGGGAGTTTATAGGTGTAAATGCATACGTGTATATACGTGAAACATCTCAAATCAATAACCTAAATTTCTATCTTAAGATACTAGAAAAATACCAAAAAACATCCTAGGAAAGAAGAAGGAAGGCAATGATAATGGTTAAAGCATCAATAAATGAAATTCAAGATAGAAAATTAATAGATAAATCAATGAAACCAGAAGTTGGTTCTTCACGAAGATTGACAAAATTGACAAACCTTAAGCTAGATTGACAAAAAAAAAAAAAAAAAAAAAGAAAGAAAAGAAAATTCAAACTACTAAAATCAGGAATGAAATAGGAGACATCAATACAGACATTAGAGAAACATGATGATAAAAAATACTATGAACAATGGTAGGCAAACAAATTGGATAAATTAGATGAAATGGAAAGATTCCTACAAGAAACACATTATAAAAACTGACTCAAGAAGAAATAAAAACCCTGAATAACAAGGAAAGTATAACAACTAAGCAAGTGTAACAAGAATTGAATTAACAGTCAAAAGACTTCACACAAAGAAAAGCCCAGTATCAAATGGTTTCACTGGTGAATTCTATGAAACTTTTAAAGAAGAATTAATACCAATTCTTTACAGAGGCTCAAAAAATAAAGAATTGAGGGGCGTCTTGGTGGCTCAGTCGGTTGAGCGTCCGACTTCAGGTCATGATCTCACAGGTCGTGGGTTTGAGCCCCGTGTCGGGCTCTGTGCTGACAGCTCAGAGCCCAGAGCCTGCTTCAGAATCTATGGCTCCCTCTCTCACTCTTTGCCCCTCCCTTGCTCGTGCTCTGTCTTTCTCTCTCTCAAAAATAAATAAACAGTAAAAAAATAAAAAATAATAATAATAAAGAATTGAAACCCTTCCTACCTCATTCTATGAGGTCAATATTCTCCTGATATCTAAATCAGGCAAAGACATTAAACAAAAGAACTGTAGACAATATCTCTTATTAATATAGATGCAAAAAATCCTCAGCAAAATACAAACAAATTTAATCTACTAACATATAAAAAGTATTACACACCATGACAAAGTGACATTAATCCCAAGAATGCAAGGTGTTTTTATATCTGAAAATAAATTAATCTATCTTGTCAATAGGATAATAACAAAAACACTATCATCCCAATAAACATGAATTTAACCTGATAAATTCAAATTTAACCTGTGGGCATCTATGAAAAGCCCACAGCAAACATCTTTTTGTGAAAGACTCAATGCTTCCCCCTAAGATAAGAAACAATACAATGATGTCTGTTCTCACCACTTCTATTCCAGCTCCTACAAAAGATTCTAGCCGGACAAAAAGACAAAGAAAATAAGTCATCCCAATCAGAAAGGAAGAAGCAAAACTATCTCTACTCCATAGTTGACATGATCTTGTATATAGAAAATCCCAAGGAATTCACAAAAATCATAGAACTAATAAACAAATTAGTAACATTACAGGGTACAATGTTGGAATACAAAGATCAATTGTATTTCTCTAAACTAACAATAAAAGATCTGAAAATTAAAATAAGAAAACAATTCTATTTATAGTAGCATTAATGGTATAAAATACTTTATTTCTTTTTCTTAGGTATTTTGTTTCTGAAATTTATTTTAAGATAAAATTATCCAAAGGAGTGAAAAATTTATCCTCTGAAAGCTGCAAAATATTGCTGGAAAATTAAAGAAAACCTAAATAAATGGAAAGATAGCCCATGTTCATAGATCAAAAGACTTACTATTGCTCAGATGGCAATGTTCTCTAAATTGATATACAGATTCATCATAATTCTTAACAAAATACCAGCCAGGATTTTTTCAGAATCTGACAAGCTGAACCTAGATTTCATATAGAAAAGGAAGGAAGCTGGGGCGCTTGGGTGGCCTAGATGGTTGAGCTTCAGACTCTTGATTTTGGCTCAGGCCATTATCCCAGATAATGGAATAATGGATAACAGCTTGTGGGATCAAGCCCTGGGTCTAGCTCTGAACTGAGCATGGAACCTTCTCTTTCTCTCTTCCTCTGCCCCTCTTCCCCACTTTCACTAACTCTCTCTCTCTCTCTCTCAAATAAAATTTTGTAAAAAGGGAAAGAACCCAGAATAGCCAAAACAAACTAAGAAAGAACAAAAATGAAGGTTTCACACTTTCTGATTTCAAAACTTATGACAACGCAACAGTTTTCAAGAGAGTATGTTACTGGTGTAAAGCTAGAAATATGGATCGATGGAATAGAATTGAGAGTCAACAAATAAACCTTAACTTACATTTATGCTTGGTTGACTTGTGACAATGGTTCCAAGAAGATTCAAGGAGGGAAAGAACAATCTTTCCAACAATTGGCCTGGGCCAACTGAACATCCACCTGCAAAAGAATGAAGTTGAATGCCAAGTTCACACCATACATAAAAATTAACTCAAAATAGGTCATATATCTGAATGCAAAGCTAAAACTATGAAACTCCTACAAGAAAAGATAGGATCAATCTTTGTGACGTTGAGTTAGGCAAAGTTTTCTTTGATATAATACCAGAAATACAAGCGACAAAAAAGAAATAGAAAAATAGCTTTTTATCAAAATTTAGAACTTTTGTGTTTCAAAGAATACTATCGAGGGAGTGAAAAGAAAACACCGAGAATGAAAAATATTTGCAAGTCATGTATGCTGAAAGACATATCTACAATGCATAAAGAACTCTACCAATTACCGAAAAATGAAGCAATTGCACAATAACCCAAAGACCTAAATAAATATTTCTCCAAACATGTGCAAATGGGCAATAAGCACTTAAGAAGAAGCTCACCATTATTAGTCATTCGGGACATGCATACCAAAACCACAACAATATGCCACTATATACCCATCCAGGCTATAATCAAAATATGGAAATATAAACATATATCTACACAAACGTGAATGCTTATACTAGGACTTATAGTAGCCAAAATGTGGAAACAACCCCAATATATATCAAGTGGTAAATAAACAAGGTATTTTCATATAATGGAATATTATGTGCCAAGAAAGAGGAATGAAATATTGGTACATGGTACATGCTATATGGACGAACCTTGAAAACATTATGCTAAATGAAAGAAATCGGTCACAAGAGACCACATACAGCATGGTTCCATTTATGTGAAATGTTGCCTAGGCCTGTGGTTTTTGGGGACAAATAAGGAGGGACTGTTGGATATATACAGTACATTTCTATATTTGTTTACATATTCTGCAAATTCTTTCATTGGTATTTTTAGTTTTCAAGGGTACAGATCTTGATCATATTTTGTGACATTTATACCTCAATATTTCTTGTTTGTTTAGCTTTTAGTATTGCTGCTTTTTAAGACTTAAATTTTCCATGAATTTTACTAAGCTGCAAGTTTAACGACTCTGTTTTGTGGTAGGATATGGCCAGCAATATTATCCATTGTTTTTTTTTTCCCCCAGCAGAGCAGATCAACGTTTTATTATACAGCTTTAGCACCTCACAGGGAGTTGGAATAGGATGACCTAGACTTTTAAGAACAGTTCAAAGAAGGCCTCATTGCACCTCCAAATGACAAACAGACGTGTGCCTCTAAGCTCTCAGACTCTCTAATTTGTGGTCCTCGTGATGAGAGAAAAAACATGGCTCTTGACAAAACCAAATGTTCTGGAGGCTACCCTGTACCAGAATCGCCTATTAAAATGTACAATTAATTTAAAAGATTTCTCTGGACGCTTTATGGAAAGTAGTCTGTAAAGTAGCAACAGGGACATATGAGAATCCAATTAGGGTGTCACTGCACTCAGGAGAGAGATGATGATGTTTGATCTAGGGTGTCGCAAAGGAGGCACTGAAACTCAATGGTGGTCGTGAGACTCATATGTGACTATATTGGATTAATGTTTGTGTCCCCACAAATTCATATGATGACGATCTCCAATGTGATGATATTTGGAAGTAGGGCCTTTGGGAGGTAGTTAAGTTTAGGAGAGGTCATGAGAGTGGGGTTGTCATTAGGTTAAGTGTTTATACAAAGAAATACCAGAGAGCTTGCTCTTTTTCTCATCTATGCAGAAAGAAAGATGTGTGTCACGTGGGCATATAGCAAGATGGCAGCTACCTACAGCCCAAGAAAAAAGACTGCAGGATGAACCTATGTTGCCAGCTCCTCGAATCCAGCCTCCAGAACTATGAGAAAGTTAGCTTCTATTGTTTCGGACACCAAGTCTTTGACACTTTGTTGTGACAGCCTGAGCTAAGACAATTATCAGTTTGACATTGTCAGCATCTTCTTATCAGTTAGGTAGATGTGCTTTGGGGATGAAATATTGATGAAAGAGTGAACAAAAAGTGATTGCTACGTGTTCAAACAACTGCATAAACTGTTATTTACTAAAACACAAAAAAATTGGAGGAGCAGATTAAGGAGGAAAATCAAGAATCAGTATTGGATGTATTAAATTCAAAACATCTAAGCGAAGATGTTCAGTAGAAAGTTGTATATTTAAGAGTGGGTCTCAGGCTCAAGGCTAAGGCTAGACATAAGAATCTGAGATGCATCAGTGAATGGTTGATATTGAAAGCATAAGATTGCATGAGATCACCTGCAAAATAAATATGATGGGACAAAATAATAGGTCTGAATCTTGAGTAGCAAAGGTGACTGCAAAAAAGTCACCAGGAAAGTAAGGTGTCCTATAAACTGAGTCATCACATTTTTAAAGGGAAATGTGATCAACTTGGTCAAATATTGCTGAGAAGGTGAGTAGTGAGGATTCCTATCAATTACTGGATGGGCCACAGGAAGATTTGGGGGAAGATTTGGTGATTCCAGAGTATGGTGGGTGAGTACGAAACCTTAATTGGAATAGTTTCAAGAAAGCATAGACCCATAGTGTGTTATTATATCATGGTAAAGCAGCCGTCTCCTCTCCCCCACCGACCCCCTGGGCCTTTCCTGTCCATCACTTACACCCATCAGAGACACCCATGCACCCATGCACTTTCACGATTGGAGGACTGAACCATGTGGAAGGATTTTAGGCAAAAGGGAAAACAAAGAAAACACGGATTATTTGGATCAAAGACAAAACAATGACTGTTAAAATGTCACTTACCCTAAATATCATTTTTTGAAATATTGACTTATGTTGATATTTTATTTTATTTTATTTTATTTATTTATTTATTTATAAGAGAGAGAGAGTGCAGGCTCACAAGCAAGGGAGGGGCAGAGAAAGGGAGACAGAGGGCCAGAAGCAGGCTCTGTGCTGACAGTTGAGAGCCCCTAAGTGGGGCTCGAACTCAAGAACCGTGAGATCATGACCTGAGCCTAAGTCAGAAACTTAATCGACTAAGCCACTCAGGCGTCCTGACTTATGCCGAGATTTTAAAGAAATGTAAAGTTGGGGCGCCTGGGTGGCTCAGTGGGTTAAGTTTCCGACTTCGGCTCAGGTCACGATCTCACAGTTCCTGAGTTCGGTCCCGCGTCTGGCTCTGTGCTGACAGCTCGGAGCCTGGAGCCTGTTTCAGATTCTGTGTCTCCTTCTCTCTCTGTCCCTTCCCCACTCACGCTCTGTCTCTCTCAAAAAATAATAATAATAATAATAATAATAATAAAATAAACATTAAAAAAATTTTTTTTAAGAAATTTAAAGTTAGAAAAGAAAGGAAGGGGCGCCTGGGTGGTCAGTCGGTTAAGCGTCTGACTTCAGCTCAGGTCACGATCTCACGGTCCGTGAGTTTGAGCCCCTCGTGGGGCTCTGGGCTGATGGCTCAGAGCCTGGAGCCTGTTTCCGATTCTGTGTCTCCCTCTCTCTCTGCCCCTCCCCCGTTCATGCTCTGTCTCTGTCTCAAAAATAAATAAACATTAAAAAAAAAAAAAGAAAGGAAAGGAAAAACCCATTAAAAATAGAGGGCAGAAAAAGATGTGTCTTAAAAAAATGCAAATCTATTAAGGGGTAGGTTTTTAGAGGCATTTATTCAACTGTCAGTGACTGACAGGATCATGAAGTTAAAAACAAAAAACAAAAAAGGCAATAATTTATTGCTATCCGGAATTTAAGGAAAAAGCTCATCACCATCTCTTTCATTTTAGAGAAATATAAACCATTGGTTTGAGATTAACAAATAGGCTGTACTGCCATCTACATATGCATTAATAGCCAATATCTAAAAAGTAGTCAAAATCGAGATCTGTTCCAGGAAGGGCAAACAAAAGCTTATTGGTGATAGAAAAAGGCCACTGAGCAAGAGATTACTTTCAGTATGAGTCAAATTCAAGGCACTTCCAGTACCTTGAGGTCAGGAGGCAGAAGAGTTTCGTGTATATCTTAATATTGAAGTGAGACTCCTAAATCCAGAGCTAGTGAAAAGATTTTCAAAGTGTCTTGTACACTGCTGTTTCCCTGATTACAAAGATGCGCCACTCAGGTGGTTGCAACCCCCCCTGCTGGAACTCGTGGCCATTGTAGTCTCTGTGATGTGGGCGGGGCTAAGAGGAATCTTGGCGTCAAGACTCTATGTGGTTTGTGTATACAATGGAATACTACTTGGCAATGAGAAAGAATGAAATCTGGCCATTTGCAGCAACGTGGATGGAACTGGAGGGTATTATGCTGAGTGAAATAAGTCAGGCAGAGAAAGACAGATACCATATATTTTCACTCATTGTGGATCCTGAAAAACTTAACAGAAGACCAAGGGGAAGGGGGAGGGAAAAAAACAAGTCACAGGCAGGGAGGGAGGCAAAGCATAAGAGACTTAAATACTGACAACAAACTGAGGGTTGATGGGGAAAGCAGGTGATGGGCAGGGAGGAGGTCACTTGTTGGGATGACCACTGGGTGTTGTATGGAAACCAATCGGTCAATAAATTATATTTAAAAAAATAAAAAGACTGTATATTGAGTTAAGACAGGTTCTGTATGGATTAGCTGTGCTTATGTTTCCTGGAATAACGGGACCAGCAACTGAAATGACATGTCATTCCAAAGAAACAAGCTGACTTCAGGACATGACTCTCAAGAGGTTGGGCCAAAGACCTTTATGGTGAAGCGATCGGGAATATAGTGGATGGATGTGGACACTGGGACCAGACTCCTGGATTCCGGAGTACCAACAGGAGTACCATTGGGCGACAGCCCTCACTTCTCTGGGTCATGGTTCCCACATCTGTAAACGAGAAAGATAATAATACAACATTCAAGGGGGAATTAGGAGGAAGAAACAGCCTTGAACAAGTAACGTTCCTAGATCAGCGTGGGTGCTATTGTATGTGCTATGCAAGTGTTCACTTTGTGTGATCATACTGAAATAAATTATTTGGGTTAAAAACCATATTATATCCCTCTAATTCAGGGATATAAATAACCTAGGTGCAGTGCAAATCCATGTTATGATGCTTGTGGAGGAAAACTAATAAATTTCCGTTGGCAACGTGTGTATCTAAATGTCACTGGAATTGTAGTTAGCAGGACATCTGTGGCTCAAAGTTACCCCATATCAGTTTTTATAGCCTGCAATAAGCCCACAGCCCAGGGCTTGGAAATAAAATTGCAAAGATCCAGGCTATTTATTATTAGGACATTTTTGTATCTTTAAAAGAAATAACTACAAAGTTTGTTTATCTAAAAGCAAATATTTTATACTCAAAGGGATAATAAATTTTTTAAAAGTATAATGGTGAATACTAGACCGACTTTGAAGTTTTTACTTTATCTGTGGCTAATATATAAAAGCGAAAATAATTAAATTGTGCCTTGCTGTTTTCTGGGGAGGGGGGGATACAGTCCGAAATACTTTTATTTTCCTCATTTTTCCCCCTTTTAAAATATACAGTCCAAGTGGGTATCACTCAGTCTTCTTCACTTTCATTGCCTGAACTGCTTGTGCCGAAAGACTGCAGGCCTGCGCGGATAAATTCGGCAGCTACTGGTGACGTGTAACTACAAAACGCTTGAACTGCAGCTAGTGAGACTGAGGAACTATAATTGTAATTGATTAGTTTTCACTGAAATTTAAAAAGTGGCACTCTGTGAAGTTGTAGAAAACTTTAGGTACCTTTGGAACAACGTGAGTCTATGAATCTACTTTTTCAACTATAAATTTTATGGGCTTAAAAGGTGGCTCAAACATTTCCAGTGAAAATTTAGCACTCAAATTGGAATGTCCTATAAATACGAAGTGCACACTAGATTGAGCAAAGAGGAAAAGAGAGAGACAGAGAGACAGAGACAGAGACAGAGACAGAGAGAGAGGCAAACCAAGAAACAGGCCCGTAACTATAGAGAACAATCTGATGGCTACCAGCCTGGATGGGGGTGGGGGGACTGGGTGAACTAGATGATGGGGATTAAGGAGGACACCTGTTGTGATGAACCCTGGGTGTTGTATGGAAGTGTTGAGAAACTAATATTGCGCTGCATGTTAACTCACTAAAATTCAAATAAAAATTAAAACAATAGATTTATAGAAAAAAATAGATTTATTTCTTTATCTATTGAATAAATAGAAAAAAATAAATGGAAAAAATAAGTAGACTTATTTATTTACCTATTAAATAAATAGATTTATGTATTAAAAAGAATAGATTTCATAACCTCAATATGAGTAACAAAAAGTAAGTTAGGTTCATTAAAATGTTTTAGATCGATTTTGTCCTGAAATTGTCTTTTGGATACGTTGAACTGTATAAAATACGTTTTTAAAATTAATTTCACCAGTTTCCTTTCACTCCCTTTGTAATGTGGACACCAAAAAAATTGAAACTTACGTTTGTAGCTTGCATTATATGTTTATTAGACATTGTCCTTATGTCTAGGACATAAGAATGAGTTCTTTCGAGGATGAGAAATTATAAATCTAAAACAAATCTCATCTTTTAATATTAATCCTTTGAGTGAAATATAATTTGATAGGCATATTTCACAAATAAAGTTCACACCTATGATTCCTACTGGGAATTTAATTGATTCCCTCCATTTTTGGGGTGGGGGGATATACAAATCTTACCAAATGCCTGTGAGTATCATGAAATAATCTGGTAGTAAGTTTGCTTTGCTTTATCATTTAATCATTAAATACCTTATTTATGGCTATCTGAAATATAATTTAGTCTTAGAGAAATTTAATGAAGAGTTTTCTTGGGTCTTTTGAAAAATAATAGGCATTATGTAGTTTCTATTGCTGAATGAGAATTCTGTTTCATATCCAGTCTTTTTAAAAATATGCAGATTTAACTAAGACTGCATACAAACATACATAAAATGTTATGCTATGTATAATTTCAGTTTCATTTAAAGTATATTTTATTTCACATGTTAAAATTCTTCTGTGGCTAAGTCAGATACCAAAAGTTGCTTCAAAAACAATCATATCACGTTAGGCATTTAGTTTCCTAGTCTCTATTTTTAGTATATATGCACCATATTGAACAATGTATGGCCAACTTGAAATCCTCGCATAAATAGGCATTTTCTGTTCCTTGTAGGATGAACTACTGACTGCTGAGTAGGAATTCAGTTATTCATTAGTAAGTGTATATTTGAAATTTTACTGATATTGAATATATGGAGGAAAAATAGTACGTTATTTATTCTTACATTAATAAGAATGATTTTTATTAGGATTTTTCAAACATACAACAAAGTAGAATTTAGTAGAGTGAATTCGCGTATTTCTATTACCAACATTCATCAACTGCCAATATTTTTCTAATTTCATTTTATCCGTGTTGCTAAACAGTTTTCCCTAAAGGATTATAAAGCATCATTTGGGGGCACCTGGGAGGTTCAGTCGGTTAAGCGTCTAACTTGGTGTCGGTTCAGGTCATGATCTCAGGGTTCCTGAGTTTGAGCCCCGCGTCGGGCTCTGTGCTGACAGTGCAGAGCCGGCTTCAGATTCTCTCTCTCTTCCTCTGTCTCTGCCCCTCCCCCCACTAGTGCTCACTCTCTCTCTCTCTCTCTCTCTCAAAATAAATAAATAAACTTAAAAAAATAAAGCGTCATTTTATTCACTCATAAATTCCCTGAGAAGGTATTTAAATTTTGTTTAGCACAGCCGCCCTACCATTTTAACGTCAAACAAAAATATTACCTGATGTAACTCCGTATGCAGGTGTCATTTTAAAAAATCAGTGTGTTTGAAGCAGGATGCAAACAAAATCTACTTTCTTATGTCCCTGGGGCTTATCCTAAGAACCGGCTCTCTCCCATTCTATACCAACAGGGGAACGGGAAGCAAACGTGCCTGTACTTGGCTCATTCGTGTGGTAGTTTTGCATGGGCTGACTTAATTGCTCTCAAAAGCCGGAGTGGTCTATAAACACTGCAAACTGTAAAGTTCTGTGCAATACATATTTAGCTTTGAAGCCAGTTAAAATAAAATTTTTGTTGCTTGAAAGCAAATACAGGAGGGGCACCTGGGTGGCTCAGTCGGTTCAGTGTCTGACTCCCAATCTCAGCTCGGGTCACGATCTCACAGTTTGTGAGAGCCCCACGTCCGGCTCTATGCTGATACCATGGAGACTGCTTAGGATTCTCTCTCCCTCTCTGTCCTTCCCTCACTCACATGTGGGTGTGCTCAAAATACATAAATAAACTTAAAAAAAAGGAAAATTGGGGCTCCTGGGTGGCTCAGTTGGTTGAGCATCTGACTCTTGATTTTGGCTCAGGTCAGGATCTCCTGGCCCGTGAGTTTGAACCCCACGTTGGGCTCCAGGCTGACAGCAAGGAGCCTGCTTAGGGATTGCATCTCTCCCTCTCTCTCTGCCCCTCACCTGCTTGCTCGCTCTCTCTCTCTCTCTCTCTCTCTCTCAAAGTAAATACACTTTTTAAAAAAAAAGACAAAGGAGGGACAAAGAGAGAAGACATGGGAGGTTAGAATGTAGACAGTTTGGTTTGAGAATGTAAAACACTACCCTTCCATTTACGTACCTACACAAGTATGTATGAATGCATTTTGCCGTAAAGGGGAAGAGCCAAATGGAGTCTCAACCTGGAACCAAAAACAGGTGTAAGAGAATTTCTTTAAATTACACGCCAACAGGAATGAGCTAATAGAGAGCCAAGAACTGATGGAGGAGGGAGAGGACCATATCTGCAAGTTGAGTTACCCTATCATTCCTGACGTGTTTCCTTCATTCATCACAGATATCCCCCCTCCCCATCCTGTTGATAATGTAGATGTCCGTGCCATTGGATTGCATTGGATTGGATTGGAGTAAATTAGGGGAAGAGTTTGTAATGATGGTCTTCCTTGTAACCTAAGCACATCTTTGTCCAAATTGCCTACATGGAGACAACCTTCAGCCCAAGCAGGAAATGGTGTCTCTTCAGAGACTGATTGCTTTCCCACCTTGGCTCCTGTCATAACTTGATTTGCTCATGGAACCCAAAAGTGCCATGA